AGCAGTCACCGGCCACATCGACCTGATCAGTGTTTGATTGTTGTGTCTTGTTGCTTTTTTTCTTTTGTCTCTCCTCTATCCACTCACCCCAACCGGTCGAGGCAGAAGGCCGCCCACCAAGAGCCGGGGTCTGTCGGAGGTTTCTTCCGTTAAAGGGAGTTTTTCCTCCCCACTGTCGCCAAGTGCTTGCTCAAGGGGGATTTGTTGGGTTTTCCCTATGTAATAATATTGATAACAGTAAGGTCTAGACCTTAGTTTGTAAAGTGTCCTGAGATGACTTTTGTTGTGATTTGACTCTATATAAATTGAATTGAACTAAAAAAGTGAGGCCAAATTATTGTCAATATGGGGGCTGGCATTTTGCAACCAGATTCTTTGCAGTGGCAACCAGAAGTGGAGTGACAGCATCAGGCCACCAATCAGAGCTGTCCATCATCTGAAAGGCACCCCTTTTATATCTATATTTATATTGATTATATCATTTACTAAACAAACCTACCAGAAAACTGACCATTTGTACACACATCAGTGTGACAATATCTACCTAAAATGACAGAAATCAGTTTTTGGAAAAATGTATTTTTAGTCTACTGGAGCTGTGGCTTAGAGCTGCTCTGATTTATAAAAATACTCAAATATTTTGAGTTTGATGTTCACAAGAAGCATCTGCTGATGTGAACCATGCCTGGCAGCTGGCGTCCAGCTCAAACGGCATCAAAGACACAGCACAGAATGATCAGTGAGGAAAAGACGTCCAACATAAAGGAATCACTGGAGTTGATTAATATCTGAGTCAACCATACACATGTTGTGGAGCTTGGAGTCCATGGAAACCACAGCAGATTTTCAATTATTTCTGCTTGATCAGTGAGTTTTGTTGCATTCTCATTTCTTGTAATTTCAAACCAACAACTTCATTTCCATCAAGTGGTTAGAGCGGATAAACTACGCTAGTTTTGTCAGAAGATGGCGGTACAGGCAACGTACCATAACATGGCTGTGGTAAAAAAAAAAAAAAAGTAGTAAGAGGTTACAAACTGGCAACAAAACAGAGAAACTAACAATCAGAGATTTCACAGTTTACTATTTAAAACGAGTTTTTACCTGGACGGGACAGAACGTTTCTAACAGAAATGATCTCCTCCTCGGTCCACACACACACACACCTGCTGCCAACCATGTTTGTTTTGCACGTTATGGGAAACGTCAGCTGAAACAGTGGGCTCAGTGTTCGCTGTGTCAGAACTTACTCGGCAAATGTGTGATCATCCTGCGGATGGTTCGTCACTAAAACAGACTCCTTTCACATTAAACAGTGTTTTCACGTTGACATTTAATACATTGTTATTATAAAAATATAAATTGTAGTAACTTTAATGATTTACATCTTCTTCATTGTGCTCAGTTGCACAAGTCGCCCGTTGCTCATCTTGTCCAGGCTCTGTACATTTAATAACCAGAAGAAAAGCTATGCAGAAAACACACCCCTTCCTATATTTAACTTGTTAGTCCTACTGCAGCATCACAACAATCCCAAGCTTCTTCCAACACGGAGGTGCTCTCTTCCTGCCTTTGCACACTGAATCGCCCTGTCTCCATTCCTCCAGCTGTAAAATAAATACCACAGGCATGATGCACTGTGTTTGTGTTCAGGTGATATGAAAGGTTCATGAAGAGAAGAACAGCTCATGATGCCCTTTTGGAACAATACTTATTGAAAATAAACTGAAGAATAGTCTGAAGCTCTTCGAGGAAATGTTTTGCATCTTTCTCTTTGAGGCGCTCACACTGAAGACACCCTGTCTCCGTCTGTGAAGGACATGAGAGACAAGAAAGAGACTCATTACTGGTCAACAATAAACAGCACTTCATGAGCATCTGCAGCAGCTGTGATGCTGGAGTTCCCCAGGGCTCTGTTCTGTTTTACTACAAATGTCTTCACAATAATTTCACAATATTTGTTTAATGGAAAAATCATGGATTAACTGATTCTCTCCCACAAGTTGTAGATTCTTGCTGTTAACAGTTTGGTAACAATAGAACATTTACAGTGAATTTGATCTGTTTGTATTTTTCCTGTACAAATAAAACATCAGACAATAAAATAGTCTGTTTTTTGACTCTATATAAATTGAATTGACAAACGTTATGGCAACTGGACCTTCAGTGGCAAAATGGAGAACAGCCTGATGATGTATTACTGGTGCGCTTGGAGTTTTGATTTTGTTTGACTGTTACTACTAATCCTCTTGGATGCAGCTGCTTTTGCTGGATGCTGCAGAACAGTTGAGTGCAGGCGCTCTCTGCAGAAATATCTCAGAGTGTTTGGGAACAGAGGCTTGTTTACATGCTTTTCAGTGCAACCAATATATCAGAACCAAAGTCTGGTCTAGGCAAGCCTCAGCAGAATGTGCAATGTCTGGATTGCTTTCTCTTTTTCATCATCAACTGTGGTGCAGCAAATTCCACCAGTTGCTCTTTGGAAAAAAAAACTTTATGATTTGCTACTTTCTTGTGGCGAGTGCACTTTGTCCACAGTTTAAACTGTTCTCCCAAACTTTTCACAGGTGTGTGAGCTTGTTTCTCACAGTGCCTGTAACAGCAAAAAGCAAAAGCCATTGTTTTTGCCTCAGACGGTGCCAAGGTAAGCTTCTTTCTATGTTATGGTATTTAGCTTCTAAAATGTGTTGTTGCAACCCTGGGGCCAGACCAGGAGGACTCTTGGATCAATCTGCAATACACATAATGCATTAAAATGAACATAATTTCCACTAGGAACATGTCCTGCTCTTGTTAAAACAGCTTGTTCCCTCACTTTTATTGTTTCAGGTTTAGTTTTTTAATGAAGTCTCTCCGTCCTACCTTACACCTACTATAGTCCAGATGTGAGAAACTCTAAGTGGATAAAACTGCAGACAGATTGACCTGAGCCAGGCTCAGTTATTAACATTCACTCACAGGAATCAGCTTTGTAAACAGCATCAGGTATGCAGCAAGTGGTGTTTTTTGCCCTGAGTTTCACCTCACAGGCTGCCCAACTTTTTTGGTGAAAGAAATGCCCATAATTTCAAATTAGCTATGTTGAATAAGGTCTTTGATCCCAATTAATATTTGATTTTGATTTTGATTTATTCTTTCAAGCATGTAAAGACAGTTGATATGACAACACACATGATTGTACACATAATCCAATATCAATTTGCTTATACCTAGTACATGCTTGAATGGAGTAGGAAGAAGTCAGACTTATCCAGTCCTACCCCATGACATCATCTTACCATCATTGGTTTGCAAGCAGTATCTCTACATAAATAATTCTCTTCTACACCACACAAGTAATATATTAAAGAATTATTACA